CAGCCAATGGCCCCCCCAGCCCAGTGGCAGGGGGACCTACCTCGGATGCTGTGTGCCAAGGTGGCCACTGGTGGCTTCACAGCCCCAGTCAGGCTCCTGGTGGGAGAGGGGGCTCTCACGGGCTGGTAGGCATCCTCGCGGAGCTCCCTGCAGCGAGGCCGGGGCCCCTCCGGGGAGGGGAGCACAGCGTGGGCCACTGCTTCGGCTGCTCGCTGGATGGTGCTGAGCAGGGCTTCCCCTGTTGAAGCTGGGCAGAGGCCAGGGCATCAGGGGCTTCCCCACCTTACAGGGCCTCACTAGGGGACAGCGGGGACCTGCCAGCAGAGAGGAGCGGCCCCAGCAGCCAGGCTCCAGGCACAGCTGGGCTGTGAGGGACTTCTGGCTGGACAAGGGAGACGAGGAATACCTGGGAGCTACTGGGACAGGCCACGGGGCACAAACTAGACTCTCCCATCACACCTCCCAGCAGGGAGGGACCTGGCAGAGCCCCCCCACTGCCAGCCCCATGGCTGTGCCACCACCCCACTACTCAGACAGCCTGGGAAAGGGGAGAGCTGCACAAAGCAAAGGGTGCAGCGTGGCTCTGCTCTGAGCCAACCAGAAACACTTGCTGAGAGAGCGAGCAGCCAGGTTAGGTGTCTCTGAATGCTGGGAGCCTGGTCTAACCCTGGCAGGATCCCTGGGGCTGTGGCACTGTGGCGTGAAGGCAGGGCAGCACCGAGCAGGGGATCCACACGGGGTGAGGGGCAGCTCCAAGCAAGGGCACAGCCAGGACTTACCGGAGCCGCTTTTCTCACTGCTGAAGCCGAATCCTTGCAAGGAGCTGCAGGGGCTGGGGCTGGAGCCCATGCCTGGGGGCAGCACAAAGCACGTTCAGAGGGAGCACAGGCTTTGGGGGTCACCCTCCACGGCTGTTCCTCCCCTTTGCAAGCACAGAGGAGTGCCTGGGGCAGCCGGGAGGAGCTGGGACCAGGGCAGCGTCCCACTGCTCCCCCAGGCGCGCTTTTCCCACTGACCCAGCATCCTGCAGCCAGCTCTGACCAGAGCTGTGGGACATCCCCAGTAAGCTCACTGCCGGGGCCTGCAGTGAGACAGGTACTGGGACCCACAGCACCCTGCCCTCGCTCCCAATAGCCCTCCTGGACAGGAGACCCTCTTCCTACCCACAGCTCCACCCGAGGGGCCTGGCCCGCCGTGACCCATAGGAGGTGACAGGGCTGCAAGGGGCCTGTACTTACCCGTGGGAGGCAGGGGATGGGCAGGCGGCGCAGCAGGCTGGGGGAGCGGTGCATCCGAAAAGAGAACACTTGCCAGGTCCTGCCGGGAGAGAGGAGAGTGTGGGTAGAGAGCTGGGGAGCATTGGGCACCCCAGTCGGGCCCCAAGGCAGGGGTCTAGGAGGCAGAACTGCCCTGTCGCCCCTCAGGCAGGGCCCGGGCAGTCCTCCAGGCACAGCAGGAACAGAGCCGGCACTCACCTGTGCAGCTGCCCGGACCTTCTGGTTCAAGCTGTTTCCATGGAGGGGGTCTGGGGGCCCGGAGAATACTGCAAGGCACAAGGTCAGGAGGGCTGGAGGACACTCGGCTCCCAGGCATGGGGCAGGATGGGGCAGGACAGTGGCCCCAGCCAGCGCTCAGCCTCTGGAACAGCCCTCACAGGGAGGAGCTGCTCTGGGCTCTCTCCCACGGCCAGGCTGGGTTCTCCAGCACCACGCAGGGCTGCTCCCTGCTCTCCTGCCTCAGATGGCCCACTCCTCGCCCTGTTACCTGTTGCCTCCCGGATGAAGCAGGCATTCCTCTTCAGCTGCAGGACAAACTGGGGGGAGCCCTGGACACATGTGTGCAGCAGGATCTTCAGCACCTGCGGACGCAGGGCTCAGGGTAGGAAGGCCAAGTGGCAGCTGCCTTGCCAGCCCCCAGCCCTGTGGCAATGCCCACGCTCTGGCACATTGCCCTGATGGTGCGACCCTAGCCCTGGGGCTCCTCTGGGGCCGGGGAGCCCCACAGCAGCTGCCCCTGCTCACCACCCCTGACCTACCTTCAGCTTGACGCGGCAGGAATTGCTCTGCAGCCGGTTGAGGA